GTAATATAAAACTGATTACCAAAATATAGACTTCAAAGTTTGTCTGGCACCTCCACCAGTCACTTTGTATGTGCTTTTATTTAAATATTCAGCACGTCATTACAAAATAATTGTTGATTGTCTTTTTTTTAAATAAAAGTGAAATCTTTTTTCAATGGAACCAGCATACACCTACATACACGCATATTGAGAACGATAGTTACTAACAGAAAATAGATAAAATTATCTACTAATTATTATTATTAGAAATAGTCTGTGGTTGATATTCGACCACATTTTACCTAACACAAGAAAAAAAGTATTGCATCGGGCGGGAATCGAAACCGAGTCGCTCGCACGATAGGCGAGCTTTACAATCAAATCAGTTTTTACTTGCTTTTTGTTTTAATTAAATTTATTTTACCTGCTTTAACGACACGGTACCTTTCCAATGCAATATCAATTTATTATAAATATATCCTTAATACTACTCTCTTCATTTCCAAAACTATTGCATTTTCTATAAGGAAAATTAATTAATAACATACCTTTTCAATATTTTCTCTACTATCTTTGGAATGTTGAGTTTCTTCATGACTAGATTTAAGCGACGGTGGATGTAGTCCCCCATTAGTTCTATTAACCTTAGGGTGATGCGTTGGAGTCGGAGGGCAGACTAGCTCATCATTTAATAAGGCACCTAGTTTAACACCACCATTTATCACGGGTTCAATTTTCATTTTGGCAAATTCAGAACTACAACTAACGGGAGAAGTCATCACATGGCATGGGGTTTGACGTACTACAGAACTGTGATGAGATGTATGCTTGGGAGTATCATGGGGTTGTGTCCATTTCGGAGAAATTTGACGAGAGAGTGGTTTATGGGGTTTCATAACTAAATAGCTAGATGCTAAATCACTGTTTCTTGAAGGCGATCCTTCTAAAGAACTATCACTATGTGTCGTTGAAACTGAACTATGACTACTTTTAGATTCCATGTCTGAATGGGTTGAAGGACCAGGTTTGTTACGCTTTCCTTTCGTTTTTGCAAATACAGTAGTGATGTAATTATCTTTATCGACTAGACTATTCCCGTTTGGAATGAAAGGCTTGGTTTGCTTGAAATTTATCAAAACGCCGTTCTCCATCTTTTCGTAATCGTCTGGAGATGCATCGTTAATTTCATCTGTATCGATTAGTTCAAAATTGAAAGCGTCCTCAGGTTTTTGTACATTTGTTTTAGGTTTATTTGAACGAAGAACGGTGGGTGGTACAAACGGCACAGCACAAGTTCTTTCGAGAGGTTTATGTAACGATCTCGGTGGTAACGGTGGCGCCGGTTCTTCATTATCTTCGTTTGCTGAGGATGTTCCGTTGACTTTAGGAAGGGCTGACGATGCCATCCAAATTTGATAATATTCCTTACTTGAAACTTGTGGTTCTTTTGGACGATTTTTTTTCTTGCCACCGCCATTTGTACTTTCTGAACGCCTTAAAGTTTGCGATAATTTCTTTTTTACTCCTAAATCGTTACCTAAAATTTCGCTACTACAACCTGTACTCAATTCTTCTAAGGAATTTGATAATTTTAAGGCCGGTATGGAAACGTCATCTTGAAATCCGTCGTTTTGTATTCCCTGGCATTTTACTTTTGGTTTGATTTTTATAAAATTCTTAAATCTGTCTACCGGCTCTTTAAGAACAAGCGGTTCAGTTTGTGCCACACAGTCCAAAGTAGAACCTCCATAGTACCGAAAACAAAGTCGCTTACCACCGTCTGAAAAAAAATAAAGGAATTTACTCTTCCATTAATAATCAAAAATTACAATTTAAACAACATGCCAAAATATTATAATATTAATACGAATGGTTTTGCACAATAAAATGTCTATGTTCCATCCAGAATTTTAAAAATAAATAAAAATACAACCAAACTATTAATTGAATTGCTGCTTCTGGTCAAAATACTACAATGCTCGTACGAAAAAACCTGTTCATTTATTAAAATAAAATATGCTTGCTTGATTTTGCCTATAGGTACAGTAGAACCTTGATAACTTAAACCTCGATAACGTAATAACCTCTATAAATTCATAAAATTTTATGTTCCCTTCCCCTCGGAGTCCAAAACCTCTATTACTTAAAATAAAAACCCTCTATAATTAAACTCTG